ATCAAAAAGTATTTGCTTTCAAGAATTCTATACCATTTCTACGAAAAAAGCGTTTTTGCCCCCATAAAACACCGTGCGACAAAAACATTCGAAAGCATCGATATACTCACGAAAGTATTAACCAAATGTAGTAAAACTAAAAAAATTATTTAAAAAAATCAGTGCAATATATTATAACAATATGGGTACCAAATGAGAGAGCCAATTTTATAGAACTTAAAAACAATAAAGTTTTTTGGTTTACGAGGACGAATAGGTATTGAAATTGCGCGTGTAATACTTTTTATCTTTTTAAGTTAATAACGGTTGCAGGCCGAAATTCTATGATGTGGTCGTGCATATATTAGTCCTCAAACAATAATTTTTTCAAAAAAAAAATATTGAAATTTTTCTAATATATTTTAGCACAAAATTTGTAAAGGAAATTTTCCATACCCATTCGTCCTTGTGCATCAAAAAATTTATTCTGTTATAATTCTACAGAATTTTTTCTTTTATATATAATTTAAAAAAAAAACTCCTGACGACAGAAAAAAAAACTAAGAACGCAGTTTACTATAATTCGTACTGTCGCACGGTCAAATACATGGCAGTTCTAAGCATAATTTTTTTGTAAAAAATACGAGTACTCATTTTATTTTCATTTAGAAAAATCCTGGGGGTTGAGAGCTTAACATTTTAACCTTTTATTTTTTTGGACCATCCTAATGTACATACATACATATACAACAAGCATTCATCTTTATTTTCATCATCCGTATTAGTATTGTTGCTGTTTTGCTGTTTGTTACTGTCGCCATTTGACGCCGAATACTGGCGTCACAATGACCCGACACAAAGCACGAACACCACAGAGGTATGAATCGAAATGTTTTGAAGTAAATACGTATACGTAAGTATGTATAAAACTCGCAACACTAAATCCACGTTAAATGCCGAGCTTAACAAATAGACACAAAATTGGAAATGTAGCAAAGCTGAACCGTATAGCCAGCCGTTCAATTAGATGTCACAGAGTGAACATAAAATTTGGCTGATCTAACGCTGGAGATATTCTTCATCAAATCTTACAAACACGACGTATTTTTGTTGCAAGTAAACCCATATGAAATAATACTTTTTTTTGTATGTTTCCAATTACCGCTGGAGCTCGAGAAGAGTAAAAATTTTATTGGTAAAACAAGTATAGGTTGGTTGCAATGCCTACTAGTAGCTGGCTTGAATACATTTAACGCTTTTCGGCATAATTTTTATGGACTTCTCAAGTGCAATGTTTTTTCTATGTAAACTCTACATTGCTTGGCTGCATCTTTTTGATGTATTAAATTTCATAGGAACGCTTATCTGATAAATTTACCTGAACTTCGCTTATGGGAAGCTTATGATAGTTATTTAACCTATTTTGCTGCACACCTTTCTGGTGATGTATACTACATATGTACTTAATGTACTTTCGAAAATCTTGGGCATTTAGCCAGGAAATGCTAAATACTTTATTCAGTATCTTCTAGCTGAGAGCTTCGCCACCTTCTAATATAAGGTAGTTCTTGCTTTTCTTTTATAGTTAGGTCAGAACTTGCAAGTATGCATATAAAGCAGATTAAAAGAAGCATGAAACTTCATTATTCGGAAAGTTCGTTTACCGGACGACAGTAACATTTTTTTGGTTTAAGTGTCAACAAATAATTTTTACAATCGACCACACCAAAAAGGATATGCGGTATAGCAAACTGAACTCGGTGCATAGCAATCAAAGTGGAACGCATGAATCTGACAGAATGTGAAACGTGTGGTATATCGATAGAAAGCTGATTTTCATTATTTATTTGTTTTATTTTTGGTTGCAAGCACAAGGTATGTTCTTTTTGGTTGAAAAAATGCCCGCAGGTAGCGCTGGAGTCGAATTATTACTGAAATATGTATGTATTTGTGATCCAATATGACTCATATTCGTAGTATATTTGGTTTACAGGAAGGAAAATATTTTTGCAACAAAAACACCCACAACATACGGCTGGAGTCGTGTATTTACCAGTCACGCACATAGGAAAAAAAATAATAGTAAGTAAGTAAAATTGTTCGAGCCGTTTTCAAGTACTGTAAAAACGTAAATGTGGCAGTTGATTTTAATACATAAGCCTAAAAGTTTGACATATGACGAATTATTAGAGGGTTTTATGGGCATAAATATTCCTGCATTATAATAACCATTTTATATACAGTAAACTGAATTTTTAGTAGAAAGCCGGATCTTTGAGCAAATATTGATGAACCTACTACCATCAAAATATTGCTAAGCTGTTAAGGCTTCACACTCACAGATGTACAATGCAAATTCCTTTTCGAATGGCGTACATCTCTGTAAAACGATTTTTCTCATATTACCATTACAAATGTTAAAGGGGAATTGCAAAAGTCATAAATTTCGCAAGGAAAGCTTCTCCTACCCACTTCTCTTCCAGAACGGACTCGCAAGGCATATCAATGGCACCCCTTGAACAATATTTAAGTAATCAAATTATTTAAATAGCCAATGAACGGGGTAAACCTCCGTGAAAGAGGTAGGCTTCTTGGCTATCCTATAACAGAAAACCAACACCTTAACAGAGCAATTCTGGCTGAGATATTAAGTTAAAAGTCTTTTGTAAAACAACTGAGTAGGCAAGATATTTTGAAAGAATTTATTTATTCTGTCACGAAAGTCTTACAAAAACATCACCCTTGCCCAGAAAGCAGTTTTGTAGCATTTTGTTCGCGCCGCTACAGCAGTCGCAACGGGGATTCTTTTTTTTTTTATTTTCAATTAGTATTCTATAATTGCTAAATGTTATTCTTCTAAAAATAATAATAAATATGTAGTTTTTTTTTAAGTTTATCAAATATTTAAAAGCTTATTTACTTTTTTCATTTATATTGTTTTTCTTTTTGAATGCTATTTTTTAGTTTTTAGTGATTTAGAAGGAAAAATATGTTATTTATTACATTTAGTATTTAGAAAAATTTATTTCTTTCTCTTATTTTTAATTAAATTGTTAATTTTAATTTTTATATTTTATTGTTTACAATAAACTTTTTTTTAATTTTTAATATTTTTAATTCATGAGAATTGAAGTCGGTTTTGTTTTTTGCTTAAAAATTACTTATTTTTATTATTTTTTTATTATATTTTAAAAATAAAAATATTTTGTTTAATTTTATTTGATTTTTCAAAACTTCTTTAAATTTATTTTTTTCTTTTCATAAAAAGCTACATATTTTTTATTTAATTTAATTTTTTGAAGCTTTATTACATTTTTCGTTCGTTCCAAAATAAATCATCTTACCACCTTGTCAGAAAAATCAATCAACATAATATTTTGTTCATTTTTAAGTATGTTTTTTCCTTTTTATCTAAATTTTCAGATTTCACTGTTTTAAAAATTAACACGAATTTTTCCGAAAGTTGTTTTATAAATTTTCCCTTTTATTAAATTGCAATTTTTTGTTTTTAATTATTTTTTATTTGTTTTTAGATTGCATATGTTTACTATTTTAAAAATAAAAATATAATTTTCTTAAATTCTCACTTTTTTAGCAATTTATTTATCTATTTGTATGAAATAATATTTTTTTTCAATTCAATTTTTTGATTTTATTGTTGTAAAAAGATTATTATTATTTTTTTTTTTTTTTTTTTAGGGGTTAGCTGTTTTTTTTTTTGCAAATTTGATTTTTTTTCTTTTTTAATCTTTAGATTTTATTACTTTAAAAATAAAAACATATTTTTTTAATTGCATTTAATTTTTTAGTAACGTCTTTTTAATTTAGAACTTTTTTTATTCATTCTTTTAATTTAGTTTTTTTTTAATGTTTTTGTTTACAAACAATTCTTTTTATATTTTATTTAATTTTCGGGAATTCCTTTTTGCCTTCCATTTTTTAGTAAAAGTTTTTTTCTAATTAATTTTTTTTGTTATAGATTTTATTATTTTAAAAAGACAAAAAATTAAAAAGAAACAATTTTTCAATTTCATTTAATTTCTAGGAATTTATTTAATAATTCTTGTTTCTTTTTAATATAATTTTCATTAGATTTTAAGATTTAATTTTTTATTAAACGCACAGTTTTTAATTTAACGAATTTTTATAAACTTATTTTATTATTTAAACTTCTTTTTCTTTTTTATTTTAACTTTCTTTTAATTTTTAGCTTTTTTGTTTAAAAAGAAAAATTTAAATTCATTTAATTTTAAGAAAGTTTGACAAGCAGAAAAGTCCTTAGCGGATATTTCAATAAGTCTTTTGAAAGGCAGAATAAAGCTTTCAAGCTAGTTACCATAATTGACAATTAATTGTCTTATGAAGGACTTTTGTCCCTCGAATGACTGTGGTGAGTTGAAAGACAGTTGCCATAATTGCCCTGTAAGTCTTCATATAAAGACTTCTACGGTGCACTGTTTAATTGGCTGTAGGATAAGTAGGAAAAAGCAATTCGAATATTTAGTATGTGTAGTTAATGTTTTACTTACTTCAACTCTTTAGCAAAAAAAAAAATTATCACGATACCTTAATTAAGATTGTACAGCCGGACTTTGTATGACCGTTAAAGATTTAGATGTCAATTATGCAATATAGTGAAAAATACTAAGCTATGAGTAATACGCGCTATACATATGAATGAGCGAGCAGAATATGAAAATATGTGAATTTATTGCGTTAGCTTTGTGTGAAAAATGATGAATGTGATTTAAAATAATTTGAAAAATCAAAGTGCTAATACTCAAGTTTCAATATGCTTCATAGGAGAACTCTGTGAATATGCAAGGTGAAGTGAAAAGAAGCGGTTTTAAAATGAGCAAACTATCTACTTATTGTACAAGTTATGTATTGTGAAAAATTAAATTGAGGAACTCTTTAACTACAAGCGCAAATACATGATTTTTTTCAACTGTCTTGCTATCTTTGTTCTTAACATTTTCCACTTTATTCTTCAAATTTTTCTTAACAGATGCCAGGCAAACCTTTTTTTACAACTTCAAACTCTTTGCTCTAAAGCAGTCATTTACCGTTTCGTGACACATTTCTCTCACTTTGACTTCAAAACTTCTCCGATATACTGTAGATGCGTTTCACACTCACGCACTTGCGTCTCAAACGTTCACATTCGATTTCCCGAAAGTCCGCATGCGACGACGAACACGAATTTGATAGACCGAATTCACGTTCTTCGCCTAGCCCAGGATCACTGTCCTCACCGCACGAGGCTAGCGACGCGGAACCGGCCGACGCGGATGCCGAGGAGTCAGTTGACTCACCACTCGAGTCCGATTCACAATCCGATGAACTGGCGTCACTTTCGTGCCTACGTAACGCGCTCGTCGTAACGTTGGCAGCTGAGGCGATACGATTTCGTGGCTTCTCTCGTTCGATAGCACGTGCAGGGTTGGGTGGATCACGCGATGGACTGGCTATTACCGCCAAACCATGCACCTGCACACTTTCCACACCCCCTGTACGTTTCTTTTCGTTGTTTGTTGCGTAGTTATTGTTTTTGTTTTTGCTATTATAATTATTCTTACTCAATATGGCGCGCTTCAAGTCTACTGCCAGAGGCGAAGCAGGTGTCGCCGTGGGCGGCAAGCAATCAAAGTGATTTACGCTCGCGGCTGGCTGTTGGGTAATCACACCCGCAGGCACGCCCAGCACCGAAGCTGTTTCGGGAAAAATGCGATTATCCGAATTGGAGGCACCAAATTTCGAGAAAAGTGAACGCGCCGAATGTTTGTTCTTCTGCTGCTGCTGTTGCAGGAAGTAGTAGTCGCGCGGCAGCGATGAGGTGGCGTACAACTCTTGCGACTCGTAGACGCTGCGATAGGCGGGCCGAAAGGCAGCACCACCACTGCTGCCAACACTACCAACGCTTGCGCTAGCCGCGCTTAAGCTGCCACTACCAGCCGCTGAACCAAAAGTGCTACCCAAACCGCTGCTGTGGAGCGCTGGCGTGCTAGCTGAGTTATCGCTATTGCTATGTTCACTGCGCACGCTACTGCTGCTACGTAGTTGTTCGAGCTGTTCGCGTTGTTGTTGTGCGCGCAGCTGTTCACTTATGATGCTCGCTGAGGATTCGCTGGGCGAGAGTGAAATGTTGGAGGTGGCAGCCAACAGTTGGGCGCCCAAGAGCGGCGTTAAATTGGCGATGAACTGCTCTTGTTGCTGCTGCTGTCGCTGCTCGTCCAGTTGGCGGCGATAGGCTTCGATTTGATCGGTTGAATTGGGTGATGTACTATGCATGCATCCTTGAAAGAAATCCAGTGCTTCGTATAGAATGAAACATAGCCCAAGGACAATGAATGTCTCCATCATAATAATGTGGTGGCCAACAGCGGCATTTTACGCCACAAGCCACAGCTGATCGACTCACGTACGCGCGCACATACACACACAAACGACTACAAACAAGCACAGAGGCAATGGTTCAGCAACAAGCGACGGAAACCAATCGCTAATTGTTTTTTTTTTTTTTAATAGTTGGAAACGAAAACAAATTGCACTCGAGGCATCACTAACGCGTAGGAGTTTTCGATGAATTGCGATTTTTTATTGAATTTATTTATTTTTCTTAGTAACTTGTTACTCAAATGTCTTTCTTTCGTAAAAATCTTTTTTTTTTTTTGTTTTGTTTTGTGTGTATTAAAGCATTTTGTGCTGTTTCACTATATAATTTTGCTGCTGAAAACTCAAGCCTAAAAGTATACAACAAGAAGCAACTGCTTTAATTGCACTGTGTTTTTTGTGCAGCGCATTGCGAACACGTGTGAAAATTTGCCAAAAAATTTGCGTAAACAAATTATAAATTAAAGCAATCAACTTAAAAGTTTACGAAGTTTATAACGTGAGCGATTGGAAGAACAAATTGCGAAAGTTTATGAATACTTACCTATTTTTAGGCGCTTGCTTCTTAAGATCCAAATGGTATATGGGTAATTTTTTGTTGTTTTTGTTTATATACGATATTAAATTTACGCAGGACTTAAAAATCTATGGCTGCTTACTTTTTTTGTGCCTTCATTTGTTTTTGAAATCCTGCACTTATTAGTCATATTACGTATTTTTGTAAAAAAAAAAACATTATTTGTAGTGTATGCATGTGCATAGATTTAAAATTAAGACAGCAAGTCAAGATAATTAACGGATTATTTTCCCTTCAGCTTCAACTTAATTTGAGTCCCAAGAGAGATAAAGAAGAACAGCAATTGAGAAAGCAGCACCTACCTACCAGTATCTATATTTTCAAATTAATACTTTGAGACAAAATTAATTCGTTAATATAGTACCTGCTTTGTTTGCATCGGTGGAATACTTGAAGTATTTTTTTTTTATTAATTGACTTATAAGTGTAAAACCGATATACTCGCATCTTAAATCAGAAAAAGATAAAGGCTTTATATTCTGGAATACATAAATTTAAAAGAAAGAAATCTCGCTGAAATAATTAAAGAATTTGGAAATGGAAAAATAAAGTCATCCCAAGTTATTGCATAATACAAAACCACAACGTGATGCTCCCAGATGAGTCCACTGTTCTAGTCAGCTTCTTAGTTATTATGATTGATTTTCGTTAAAATGATTAAAAAACTGTGTATGGATACTTAAGGGCCGCGCACACAAAGCGCTTATGGCTGAAATTTGAGAGGAACCTATAAGCCAGCTTATAAGCGCTCAGTAGACAAAAAATGCTTAAAGGCAAGTGCATCCCTGGAGCTAATAAATATCTATCAGTTGGGGTAAAAAAATTGCGTAATATTTATTTATAATTATTTTTATTTTTCATGTCGAACCCTACAATTACAATTACTATTACAATCGTTTATCACATTGAATAGCTACAAAAACTAATTCAATTACCTTATATCTATCTACCTTTAGCAAATGGTAATGATAATGTTGAGTAATGGTAATGGTAAAAGTAATGGCAATGCTTGACGGAAATGGTAAATAGTAAACGGTAATAGTGGGATTGGTAATGATAATGGTAATTGTGATGTTAGAGGGTAAATGTTAAATTGTGAATGGTACTGGTAGTGATAAATGGTAATAGTAATGATAAATGGTAATATTAGTGGTAATGATAATATATATGATTATTGTAACGAGATGGGTAAAGATAATAGCAATAGCAATGGATATTAAATTAAATTATACCTATTATCGGTAATGGTATTAGTAATGGTAATGGTAATGGTAATGGTAATCATAATGATAATGATAATGATAATGATAATGATAATGATAATGATAAT